AGAAGAGAACGAACATCAATACTCTTGTCAAACTGCAGGTTGTTGTGAGTAAATATGAAAAATAACGCTGTACCCACCTCTCCCATCAGCAGCTTCAGCAGTGTAGATTTTCCTGCTCCATTGGGCCCCACGAGAGCCACTCGTGTATCCAAGTCAATACCAAACTCCAGGTTTGTATATATGTGCGGCTATAGGAAACAGTAACAGATGAGTGAGTCTGAAGAATGTATCTATACGTCAATAACTGGCAGAGGGTCAGCGAGACAGATTTACCCACGCAAACATGGGTTCACTTTTAAAAAATGGACGCCGACCTGGTTTTCATGCTGCATTATAATAAAGTGATCATTTTCTGAACTGCCTCCTAGACTGTATTGTGTCTTTCCCTACATAGTTACTATGGCCAACTTACAAATGTAATGAAAGCACCAATAGTTAACAGTACACACAAATAAGACTGCATTGCCAGAAAAATAAAAATAACAGCAATGTAGAATTTCTCCAGGTCTCTATACATCACATAAAAAAAGGACATAAGATAAGAGTGTAGCCTACTTCGTGCTTGCTAAAAAAAAAAGCCTGATAAATTATATCGTTGATTACTGTAGTCATTTTATTTTTAACAGGCTGCAATAGCCAGGATTTACAACTTTTATTGAGGATGACAATCTGAACTGTACTTACTGCATTGTCACTGTATTTGAAGCTCACATTCTGAACCATGATAACGGGAGGAGGAATCTTCCCACATGGAGGAAAACAAAATGTGAGAGTCTGTGGGAGACAAAGGTAGGTGTTAGTGCCATAGTATACATGTGCCACTGGACACTTAAAAATATGTCACTTGGTCAAAAGTCTTAAAAACCACATGTCATCATGACAGTACCTTGTCATTCGAAACTTTTTCAGTCAAGCCTGAGGCCACCATCTTCTGCAGGGTCTTCTCTTTGCTCTGAGCCTGTCGAGCCAGCTTTGCAGAGCCGTGACCAAACCTGGCAATGTAATTCTAGGAGAGAGAGGTTTAAAAAGAACTATGAATACAGGTATTGATTGGGCAAATGACTATTAGTCAAATGTATTTCCTGTCACAGAAACATTAAGGATGCATGTTATGAAAAAATGTACTGCAAGAATTGACTAAATCTTGTCCAAAGTCAACCACAAATGTGTTTGCTTGCTGGAAGATTATCCTTCAAACTATGCATCGCTGCAGTGAAAATATCCCAACACATGGTGTCTCTCATTTACCTTCATGTGTGTGATCTGGTCCTGTTCCCAGTTGAAGCGCTTCATCTGGTGTTCTTCCAGCTCCTCTCTGGTCTTCACATACTGGTCATAGTTACCCTTAAAACCAAACATAAATGTGCATGGTCATCATACAGGGCAGCACACAGACACATAATTAGTTACAGCCTTGCCCCAGTTTGCTTTTATAGATTCAAGATTCTTTTAAAGTTGTGCCAAGGGATGCTCCTGCGGTTATTTTATTTTTAGGAGCCATCAGTGGTTTCAGACCGCCGTTCTTACCGTGTAGTTCTTCAGCTTTTTCAAATGCAGGTTGATGATATTGGTGCACACACCGTTGAGGAAGTCTTGGGAGTGTGAGATGAGCACAAGGATTCTCTTGAACCTGACAAGAAGAAGCAGGATGAGCAACACATTTTGACTGTTAGGACAGATGTAAAAAGGGATGGAGTAGGGTGGGAACTTACGAACTGAGCTCCGCCTCCAACCACACACAGGCATCCAGATCCAAGTGGTTGGTGGGCTCGTCCAGCAACAGCATGAAGGGTTTGATGAACAGGGCTCTGCAGAAATATAGGAAAGTCATTAAAATGTGAAGCTTGTTTTTGTTCTGTATAGATAAACTCTTCAATGGCTTATTCAATTACCACTCGTTTCTAAAATTGCATGGTGTCAGTTTTATATTACAATTCAGGAAGGTATATGGACTACTTCTCTTCAATGGTTTTTGCCCTTATTTGTATGCGTGAAATCATAGGTTTCAATGGTATTCCTCAGAAAATGTCTGAATTTAACAGCAAACATCCATTTTCAGGACCAGGTACACGTGTCGCAAGAAGCAGTTCTGCCATAATTAGATTTATCTGAACTTAGCACCAAGTGGGTATTACATAATTTCGATTTGTAATTTTTAGTTAACTTTTTATTTATTATTCAGAAAAACCTACATTCTCATATCTACACCCTTGACAAGCATTGCTTATCAAAGAGCACACCACCTAAAAAAAGATCTGCCTCTGAATGTAGTATTGTACAAATTGAACAGTATAATCCTCTGAATCCCCTGGTTGAATTCAAATGTATGCAGATAGAGGAAGGTGGCATCACATCATGTCACTGAATGGTTTAATATTGAGCACTTTACCTGGCCAGAGCAACTCGCATCCTCCATCCTCCACTGAAGTCCTTCATTTTCTGCTGCTGCATTGCAGTTGTGAAACCCAAACCATGGAGGATGCGAGACGCTCGCACCTCTGCCTTGGCTGCATCCAACTCCTCGAGACGCTCATACAGCTCCATCAGCTTCTCACACTCGGCTATGCAAGGGGAGAAAGGAATTCAATTTCGATCTCAAATCAATGTAGCTTAAGAACCACGATAAGTGATGTATACCATTTTCATTGTCTTTGCTTGGAGTTATGTTCATTCAAAATAGGGTGTGTCTTGTTAAATATATCTCAGCATTCTGTTTGTTGCCTCTGACAATACATTTCTCCTCTGAAGTCATTGCTTGGTACATCATGTGTAACTCACAGTCCTCAGAGGCAAGTCTCTCTGCCTCCCTCTCCAGCATAATCCTCTGTTCATCAACCTCCATGACGCAGTACAGAGCAGTCTTATCGCTGGTGGGCATCTCCCGGGTCAAGTGGTAAATATCGATGTGCTCTGGAATGGGGATCTCACGAGAAGCAATGGCAGACAGCAGCATGGATTTTCCTGGTAGATAAAAGATGATATGATTATTACATTTTCCCTGACAAGGTATACGACTTGGAACAATATATTCTGAGCAACAGTAATCCCCCTTGTACAATAGGTAAATGCTGTAAATTAGCAGTTTGAATATCCAAGTTCCTAAAATGTACACCAGACACTGCAAATGTACAGGCTACTTAGTAATACTACTGAAGAGATATTTTACCTGTGCCATTCAGGCCCATGAGACCATAGCGTCTTCCTGAGTTGAGCTCCAGGCTGGTGTCTGTGAGCAGTTCTTGCCCATGGAAGGTGAGCGACAGGCTGGTAACATGGACATCAGTGCTGTTGGGGTGTGATGACAGAACGCCTGTCACAGCCCTCGCCTCTGTCTTTGCCAGTTCAAATTCATCAATCTCCTTTGTCAAACTGGCAATTCCTGTTAAAAAAAAAAATCCGTGTCATAATTTTCCAATATTTCAAGCTAGACATTAAGACATTGTGAAGGTGAATACGTAGTACACATCACAACTTATAGCATTTACTCAAAGATAAGTCCTCTCACCATTGCTCTGTGCTCCATTGGACTGGGCCTCTGGTTGATCACCATCCTCTAGTTCATCAGTTTTCTTGGTACGCCCGCGACCTTTGGCAGCCTCCTTCTTCTTCGCTGCCTTCTTTTTAGCTAAGTCGGATGGCATGGTTGCGATAGCCTATTCAACATCAAAAAATGTAAAAAGGACACAAAGATCAACACTCTTATTCTCTTTTATACAGATGATGAAATGTATACCATATCCCGATTCTGAGTTGTTTGATAATTGCTAAATATTGTGAATACTTCTTACTGGTATAATGAGATTACACAACTGGGTGGCTAATGGCTTACGGAAAGTGGCCTAGAACATTCGCCGGTGATGTGGCGTCACAAAAATGCCGGTCGTGAAACTCAACGAATTAAAAAGGATTAAATCAAAGGCTAACGTTATTATATATACGACATCATTAACGGTAAAGCATATAGATCGTTTATGATAGTGACAATGCTAACCACGACCGCATTTTGCTTCCTTCCAATCCCACCTGCTTGCACGTTGGTCTCGTCACATTAAAAAGCCTGGTGGCCATACTGTTATAAGCTAACGGTAGCTGACGCTCTTAGAATTACCGGTATATTTGTTCAGATCCGAGTAAAACTAATCTACGAAAATGTTAAAGCAGATGTGTTAGCTGATAAAGACATTGCGTCATACATAGGAAATGGATGATATCAGTATTAATAAACCAGCCGTTTACTGCTTAAACGTGAGTTCTCTAGCTAAGCTAACAACGGTTGCTAACTACAGCTGAGAGGCCTGTGAAGCTAAAGCTAACTTGACGAAAGGCCCAACCAGCTGAATACGGCTAATTCGGCGGATTTTTTGTTTTTCAATCATATTCTTTATTTTGTCTTTAACCAGCTTATCTTGGCTATTTGAGTCGTAATTGTCATACATCGTAAATATATATCTTACCTAGAAAATGAATAACTGGTCTCCGGAGCACACCGATGTCTCGTGTCCACTTTTGCCGGGTGGATGTAGCCGCACGTCAAACCGCCAGACAGTCCATATATGGTCAAAGAGGGCGGTGAGAATAGATGTTACCTCCCCTTCTCGTGGGACTGCAGTAAAATGTCCCGTTTTGATACAAAATGAGTCACATACTTTATTTCTCAATCGGAAACAATAATTGTGTGATTCATTATGACATCGACTATATAGCTGTATAGCTAATACACCTGGGAATACAACGAATGATGTTGTGATGGATATATGGTCATTTTATGAGGTGTAACCAAACTGATAAGGTTTATACATGTACCGTTATCGCATCATTACAAATACACATATCTTGACACATTTTAACTGTAATTATACACCATATAAATACGATACTCTCTTGGTGTGGTGTTGGGTACTCTGTCGTAAGTAATCCTTATCGCAAAAACATAGGTCCTTTCATTCAGTCATAGGTGATGCTGCAGCAGCATAGGCTATATCAGTGATGATGAGGGTAAACCCATACGTGAGAGAGACGTTATTCCACTCTGTGTGTGTGGCACTCAAATATTGAGGAAGTCAAGAAACTTCAGGAAATGGACGATATGTGGATGGCTATGCTTGGAGGATTTGTACCTGTATCAACGATGAATAATGGGATCTAATGCCTTCAAGTCAGTGTTCGTGGACAGGATCGAGGGAGACATATCGGGACTAAAACAAGATGCTAGCTTCTTTGCTAGCTTGCTCTTTGATGTTTGTTTCTCCGACCTAACGTTACTGTTGAGGTTATGATTTCTGGAACAATATTTACTATTTTCAAGTCCTCTTTCTTCGATTTTCTATTCTTTATTTAATAGAGTAACGTAACTCAAATGGACAACTTTACCAGGTGTTATTTAGCGTTTTGCTAACGGTACATTACTTAACTGACTTTAGAGGTAGCTGTTGGTGTTAACCCTAGCAAGAGAATTAGTTAAGCTAATTACCACAACGTTAGCTCAAAAGTCACGGAATACCCAGAGTAACGCTACACAGTTTACATGGCAGTGACTAACATAAACGGCTTGCTTTGTTGTTACACAACTGTTACGTCGCAATAAATGTTAATAGTGTTAATATATTTGCAATTATTTGTTCTGACGAAACGACGAAACCGTCACCTTTACATTTAAAAATAATGTATCTTCTACCATGACAAAACGTACTATTTTACTCATAGAAAATAAGTAGTTTATTACTAGGTAACTAAACGTTAACATAACATGCTTTATATAAACCTCGTAACGACTACCTCAGCGGATGGGACTGAAGAAAGAGCTACTATGTGACATTTGAGGCACCTTTTTGTATGTGTCAATAATTCAGTTTCCCCCAACATAGCTCCTTGAATGGCTAAATGTCTTCCATTAGGGCAGGAGAGTTGACACATCTGTAGGTAGTTAAGTTTTCCAGAACAACCTCATCAAGTGTAGCTCATAACTACTAGATATGCGTCTTTCCTCAGTTTTGGCCCTGTTCAGGCCTGCTTTACCCCTTATCCTTGGGCTGTCTCTGGGATGTAGTTTGAGCCTTTTAATGGTGTCCTGGACACAAGGTGATACCGATGACTCCTGTGGAGATGAACTGGGCAACGGGAGACTTTTTATGGGCAGAGGAGATGCCCAGAGAGACTCGAGAGATGGTGCTGGAGAGGAAGACTTCCAGCCACGTATCATTCCATATCACAAGGACCCAAACAAGCCCCACAAGAAAGTCCTAAGGTTAGTGTTAAAGTTGTGCTTCTGTCATGATCCCATATGAAAAAAAAAAAAAAACCTATAAAATGTAGATGATATATTATAAAGAATTGTGCGAATAGTTTCTCAATGGTGTAGAACAACATGCATAGTAGATACTTTTGCAGCCTGTTACTTTATTCAACACATTTTAAGACAGATTTGATAAAGAAGCAACACATCACATTACTTTATATCTTACCATATTGTTTCAAAACACTCCATCCTCAATTTAATAGGCTTACACTGAATTATCCCCTGCAATAATCTAAATGCACTGATTGGGTTACACAGGTGGTTGATAGATTATAGATTAAATCTCTTTATAAAGACAACAAACAGACTTGTACAGTAGGTCATATTTGAAGACTAGACATTTAGATAAATGATTCAAAGTATTTCATGTCCTATTTAAAATGTTGTTTTTACAATTTGTGTAAGTTTAATTCTGTTGAAATCTATATATTTTTGTGTGATGTAAAGAAACTGACTTTAATGAGATATTATCACCATTATTGTGTTTGTGATTTAATGTCATATTTCTTTTTTTAACCTTCTTTACTTCCCCTCTCCAGGACTCGCTATATCCACACAGAACTGGGCATCAGAGAGCGGCTGCTGGCGGGAGTTCTGACCTCCCGGGCTACCCTCAACACACTGGCCGTGGCGGTGAATCGCACCATTGCCCACCACTTCCATCGCACCTTTTTCTTCACAGGCCTGCGCAGCCCTAAGGTGCCTCATGGCATGACTGTGGTTGCCCACGGCGACGACCGTCCAGTTTGGCTGATGTACGAGACAGTGCGTCACCTCCATCGGCACTACGGCTCTGACTATGACTGGTTCCTTCTATCCCAGGATGACACCTACATACAAGCAAATCGTCTGACAGAGCTGGTGGGCCACCTCAGTGCAGGTCAGGACCTGTATATGGGCAGGGCGGAGGAGTTTATAGGTGGAGAAGAGAAAGCACGCTATTGCCACGGCGGCTATGGCTACCTGCTGTCCCGCAGTCTGCTAGCACGTCTGCAACCCCACCTTGACACCTGCCGCAATGACATCCTCAGTGTGAGGCCTGATGAGTGGCTGGGTCGCTGCATTATTGATTACCTGGGTCTCAGTTGCGTGGAGGTTCACCAGGTACAGACATATGCATGGACATACATTTAAAGAATGTGCTTCAAAAGAGACTAGTTTTATTCATTAAATTCACACATGATTTTTATCTGCATATATCTAACATTTATTTTCTTTGTCGATTTCTGTGTGGCTCACAGGAGATGACATATCGTTACTTTGAGCTCGGGAAAAATGCAGATCCAGAGCGTGAAGATAGCATACAGTTTAAAAATGCCTTCACAGTTCATCCTATATCGGAACCAAACCTCATGTACCGCCTACACAAACGCTTCAGTCAGATTGAGCTGGAAAGGACTTACCAACAGATTCAACATCTGCAGGTTTGTATTCTTTAACACTGCTATCTCTTAACTTTAAACTTTTATTTGATGATACACTTTCAGTTGGCTGCTTTGGTGATGAGTTCAGTGTGAAAGTATAATGTTTGTTCTCATCTCCACCACACCCAGATTTTCAGAGCCAAGGCATAAATTCCTGGCACATGCAATATTTAAACATGTCTGAAAGCTAAGACATGGGATTGAAGTCTTTTGCTAGGGCATGAAGTGTTACATTCCAGTGTCATCATCCTGTGTATAGGATCTGCCTGAGAAGCATTACTATGTGATTAAAGTAGCTGCTAATGATAGTTCATTTGCTCTGTGTTGACTCAACTTTAAATACACCACAGAGCAATCACACACGTCATAAACGCAAATGTTTGCACACTAGACAGTGTGGTCCTTCTTGGCTTTGATTTGAATTTTGACAGATTTGTGTGTGTACTCATCAGGTGCAGATCAACAACCTGAGTGATTTGACGCCAGAGGGTAAAGCTGGAGTCACATGGCCTATTGGAATCAACGCTCCCTTCAAACCGAAAACCCGCTTTGAAGTTATAAACTGGGAGTACTTTACCGAAGAGCATATTTACTCGTGCATTGACAGCTCCCCGAAGTGTGAGATGAGAGGGGCTGACCGTGCGGATGTAAACGCAGTTCTGGAGATCGCAGTGGAGCGTCTGAATGAACGCTACCAGCCCCAGCTACGCTTCCACAAGCGCCGCCTACTTAACGGTTACCGGCGGTTTGACCCCACGCGTGGAATGGAGTATGTTCTGGACCTTGCGCTGGAGGCATACACCCAGAAAGGCCACAGTCAAGTCATTGCCAAACGGGTTAACTTATTGCGGCCTTTAAGCGCAGTGGAAATCATCCCAATGCCCTATGTGACGGAGGCGACGCGTGTGCAGGTCATCCTCCCCGTCACCGCCCAGGATCAGGACTTTGTTGGTAACTTCCTCGACATGTACGTGATGAACACGTTGGACACCCATGACAATGTTCTACTGACGTTCCTGTTCATCTACGATCCTTTTGATGCTCAGAGAGTCAGCCAGACAGATGTGTTTGCCGGCATCAAGGCCATGATCGGGGAGGTGGAGAAGCGTTACGGTGACGTGAAGATCCCCTGGATCAGCGTGAAGACGGAGGTGCCCTCACAAGTCAAGCTGATGGACATCATCTCCAAGAAGCACCCAGTGGACACGCTGTTTTTCCTCGCCAGCGTGTGGACAGAGGTCAACGCCGACTTCCTGAACCGCTGCAGAATGAACGCTATCAGCAACTGGCAGATCTTCTTCCCCATCCACTTCCAGGAGTACAGTCCCGCCGTCATGTACCGCGACCAGCAGCCCTCTGCGGCCTCCTCCTCTTTCACTTCTGAGTCGCTGCGAGACGGACACTTTGACCGGCAAGTCTTCGACGAGGCTTGTTTTTACAATGCTGACTACATGACCGCGAGGACCAAGATGGCAGCTGACATCTTGGACAACGAGGAGCTGCTGGAAAGCATGGACGTGTATGACATATTTGTCCGTTACTCGGGCCTACATGTGTTCAGAGCCGTAGAGCCCGCGCTGATCCAGAAATACGTGCGGCGAGCGTGCAACCCACGATTCAGCGAGGATATCTACCACCGCTGTGTCCTCAGCAACCTGGAGGGCCTGGGCTCCCGCTCACATCTAGCTATGGCTATTTTTGAACAAGAGCAAGCCAACAGCACCTAAGAGACTTGTTGGGTGCACCACAAAAATACTGCCTTGACTAAAGGATACTCACGCAGAATAATGTGAATAATAATATGGGAACTTAGTGATCCATATACTGTAATTCACGCCCTTGTATTTTGCAGAAAGAGATTGAGGCTAAAGCTAAAGAAAACGTAGGAAAACACAACACTTTAACAGAGCAAATGTGTTGTGATGCGTCAGTTCCTACAGCTGAAAATCTCTCTCATTACTTCTGACTTACGAGTCAATAACTGACTGTCGTGACTCGTGTCTAGATGAACTCTGAGTCATGGAGGCGTCCGAACGTCGACTACTGTCACTTGTATCCCTGCCATTGATGTATTCTTATAAGAGCTGAGCAAAACATATTTATACTCCAATTCTATGAGGTTGTGTCTTGATAGCAAATGAACAAAGGCCTTCTTTGTTGAGGGAAAACCTTGAGCCATAAGTCTTCCTTATTTGAAGATGTTTAAAATGATACTGGTAACAAGCTGAAGCCGCTGGCTGCCTTTTCTTTTTTTTAAAGAGGTATTAAAGAGTGATATTTACGCTCAGTGTTGTTTCTTCATTCATACAGTGTGTGTGTTTCAATAGCAGTTTGTAGGAGCATGCTTGAACAGTTTCTCCGTAGGGATGGTGATGGCGTGCTCATATTAAAGTAATTCAATGTAGTCTTTCCGGATTGCTTAAAAGCTACACTGCAGCGCCTGGAGGCAGTGAACAGTTTGTTCCTAGCAGCCTGCCCCGCCTCGTCTCCCCACATTAAGTCAGTAAATCTCCACCCCGGCCCGGGCCTCCCTGGATTTGGGCGAGTATTCTTTACACATGTCTTTAGGGAGAGAAGTGAACCCAGCGCCCAGAGGGAGGGTCGTGTCTCCCATGCCAAGGTCCTCCGTGGTGTGGGTGGTTAACCCCTCTGAGGTTGAAAAAAGCTGAATGGCTTACTTCACACTCCCTCCTCGTCTCTAAAGAGGTGAGACGATCGCACCCTGAACCTCCCCCCACATGCCAAACTTCTCCATGTGAGGTTTGTCGGGAGAATAGTGTAGCAGCAGAGTGAAAGAGGTTCTTTCTGAGGTGGGGAGGGGGCAGCAGTCAGCGTTACACCACCGCTGCACTGCGCCGTGGAAAAGGGCCTCCACCTGCTTCCTCACAGTGAGGTCAGGGAACAATAAGAAGCCTGTCTGCCACCTTCTGGGGACGGCCAGCTCAGGCAGGAAAATGATCCTGAGCACAAAATCAACACTTTATCAGTATGAGAGCGTTCTTTTAGAGAGGGTTAATTTAGAAGCAAAATTATTACATTATTAAATGATTACTTATTGCATTGATTTGGAAGATAGAATAAACCCTTATAAAGTTTAAATATAGTGGAGGAAAAAATAAAGATATTAATATGACATTTTGCCCCTAAATGTTTTGAGTATAAACATTTTTTAAATCCGAAAACCCATTGGTATCTCAGGTTTCTGTTATTGTAGGCAAGGCTTGGGTATGTTGTTTATTAAGGTAAGGGTTAAAGTGTCAGCAGATCAAAAAAACTGGAAAATAGATTAATTAAAATCAAATGGATGTCTTCATTAATTGCTCTGTTTATCCTGCAGGTAATCCTTAGTTTAGTGCCAGATTTAAAATTTGTCATACACGTTCCTTTGAGTATTACTCATCAAATGTCAATTAAGTTCAATGCAGCAGTACAAAGTGTTATGAAATCATATTACATAGTAAAAGAAATAGCTGGATGTATCACCATCCTTATTCATCCACACCCCTTTATGATGAAAAGGTATTTCTTTTATAACCTTTAGATGTAGAAACAAGTAACACTTCAACCTCATATCTTGCCTTAATCGCAATGACATTTACCATTTAAGTATATCAGTAATACTGCAGATATATATTTTTAAAGGTGCTGATAAGAAATTGTAGCATTGCTCTTTTAAAAAAATGATATAATATAAGCAACCTTAGGCAGTGGTGTAATGTATGGAAGTACATTAGGGGACCTATCATGCAAAATGCACTTTTGTACGTCTTTTATACATGAATATGTGTCCCCGGTGTTCCAGGGAACTCACCAAGTGTCAGAAAACACAACCCTCTCTATTTTCCTCCATACCCAAATCTCTAAAAAAGGGGCTGCAACGGATCTGATAAAAACTGATCCAGATTTGAACACTGTCCTGACGTCAGGACAGTGGCGCTACGGCTATTGGGCCAACTCCACCAATCAGGAGGAGACAGCCACGGCCATTGCCGTTCGAAAGCCTGGAGACGCTGTAGTACATATGCCAGGTCAGTAGATGGTGCTGTTCTCACTGAATCTGCCCTTGCAAATCCAGAGCTAAAAAATGTCAAATTGAGCAAAATGAGGCATGGCTAAAATGCATGATCTGTTTGGTATTTTGAAAAAAAAAAAAGTATAAATATGCCTTATATAGGTATGGTCCTACACTATATTATTCAAATATAGCATGATAGGTCCACTTTAAGTATTGCACTTAAGTTTGATTTTGGGGTAGAATTCCCATTTAATTCTACTTTATGCTTCTACTTAAGAGGCTCAGTTTAACACATTAATACATACTTTTTGTAAAGAGTGAACCTTTGTTAAGTTTGTCATTTTGGATTGAATAAAAAATGACCTCCACTTCAACAGAAAGGTGAAAAAAAGACACTCCACATATCATGGCATTTACAAACTTTGGCAAGCGCTTCTTTATTTACATCCAGGCTGTCTTGCAATGTCACAGCTGCTTTTTCCCTTTTTTCTTCTTCTTTTTTGTTGTGTAGAATCACCAGTTCACAGATATACAGTGTAATGTATACTACTCCCTCCCTGTTGGTGACGCTCTGACAACAGTGTAAACAGAGAGAGAGCGGTTCCCACTCTCACAAACACATGCAGGGAGTGGGACATGTCAACAGTATGTCAGGGTTTAGTAACAGTAACAGTGTCAGGATACTCTGACACTGAGCCGCTCGAAGCAGAGGTCACCCCGGAGCTTCTAGTTTCCTCCACAAGAGGGTGCAAGTGAATCAGTGACTGTATGACAACCATGTGAATGCCCTGGCCATACAAAGACAAATCACCCCTGGTCAGGACTAGCATACTACAAATGACTACTGTTTCTCTTCTAATGAGTGCAGTTAATATAACTTAGTCCTAGTAACAAAAACATAGCTCAGAAAATCACACCTACAGTTAGTTGCTGGTAGGGCATATCATTTTTGGCAAAAAAGTTTCCAGAAGGCATTTCAACTGAAGTGTTTTTTCACACAGACTGCCAGCTTTTTTTTTTTTTTTTTTATATGTACATATCTCATCAGATGTGTTAATTAAAGTCCATGTAGCATGCATAGGTCGTCGTTCGATCACTTTTTGTGTACGCTGGGATTATAAAGAGGGTCTCACCCATGACGAGAAAAGTCCCGGTAAAAGAGACACAGCACAGTGCAAAGGAACCCAGAAAAGGTTCCAGCTAGAAACTGACTGCTGAGAGAGAGGAACAAAATCCTCCATCTGACATTACAACATATACATACAAGTCAAGTGTCGTTAAAAAAAGTGTAAAAGGAGATCGGTGCAGATTACATCGTGTTACAGCTACTGAGATTGAGGGAGGTCTTTCTTTGTTGCAGCTCCCACGATATACCCAAAAATAAATCCCCCCCAACCCAAGATAGTACACAGAGGAACACTAACATTCCTGCCCTACTAATTCAAATCGCATGGATCTCCCATAATGCACCACTCAGCTCCCCCCCCCCCCCATCCTCCCCAAATCCAAAAACAAACACACAAATAGTCTGCGGTATACTGTACAGTTGGACCTCTTAAGGGGGAAACACATATTTACATTCACATCTCTAAAAAAGTGTTTTTCTTCTTCATGTAACATAAAAAAAGTGTAGAAATGGACAAAATCCTCCAGACCTGGGTTTAAGTGTTCATTACAATAACAGTTTCAGGGTTTGTTTACAAAGACCTGAGGCCTAATTGGCTAGAAAATCTAAACATTTGGGAATAAATCCTCTCTGGAACTACCCAGATTGTTCAGATTTTTATGACCACCTTACATGGAAATGTTTTGCAATTTCTGTTACACCCAGGTGAGGATCGTTGCCCACTTCTGTTTCAGTGATCATGTTCTCTTCTTCTCGTTGCAACCTTTGGTAATACCTTTACATTTACTGGCAAAATACACAAGGAAGAGGCAGTGAGCGACTCTGACAAAACAAATCAAGTCCCAACATGTATAGGCATATTTGTCGTTAGCTATGATTAGGGAAGAAAAAACTCTTATTATTATGATCAATACTCCTTCATTAAAACACTATTCTCGCTGTGGTAATACTTCAGCTCTTATCTAATACTGTTGTAAGAATGACTGGCAAATAAAACTTAAAGGTGGGGTAGGTAATTCACTTCAGAAACACTTTTTGTTATATTCCATGGAATGCTCTTAACATCCCGATAGCAATGAATACATTAAATGCTTTGACAATAAATACATAAAAAAAATTCATCTGTGGAAGCCGTAATACTGTAAAAAGCACGCCCGGCTAAAATAACTGGATGGCCTACCTGCCTGTCAGCCTTCCATCTGCGCACAAACTTATCTCGTGCCCTCATTGGTCATGTGCGCGTTCGTGTGTGTTGGAGGAGGGGCTCTGTAAGGAAGTCTGAAGGAAGGTGCAGATTGTTTCCGGCTGCGTACTTTCAAATTCTAGCGCACTCGAGCTGGTTTCTCCATTCCTACCTACCCTACCTTTAAATGAGACACATTTCCATTTGATTCACTCCAACCTGAAAGTGAATTCAATCTCAGGTTTCTAGATAGAATTGATTCCCCATGTGTCACACTTGTATTCTCCACTTTGCTGGTGTCATAAATCAATCTTTCAGAAACAAAAACACACACTTAGAATCAAACAATAAATCAGTTACAGGAAACATTGGGGAACATAAAATATGAGGACTCATCAAGAGCGAAGAGTCACATCGTGTTTGTTTTGAGATCCAAAAACATGGCGGTGTGTTTGCAGCCGGTCAGAGTTTTTCTTGACGTGTGTGTGACGTATTTAAAGAAGCGGAGAGTAGGGGGCTTTTGTTTTGGATGCTTGTGGTCTGAGGGGCTTGACCTTCGCGGGCGCAGCTGAACACATGCGGTAAATGATGATGCCTTCACAGTGCTGCACAAAACGGGACAAATATGTGCATCAGGGCTTCCATCGCGTCCGCCGTGAGAAAAACTCTCATTTCACTTCATTTTTAAACTTTGGGAAACCTCAGAAATTGCATTTTCTTTTATGACCGTTTATGAAGTTTCACCAAACTACAGCGATGGCCTCCAAACACACAGGAAATCAGTGGGGGAGATTCAGGAGGGCATTGGTTTAGGTGTTGCGGACAGCTAAGGCCGTTTCCAGCTCCTGTCTCCTCTGCTGGATCTATTCAGAAAAAAAGGAAATATGTCAGTAAACATCTAGAGGCGGATCTGGAGTTGTTGTGAAGTGAGAGAAGACGACAGTTCCTCACCTTGCAGTAGAAATAGCGGCTGACAGCCTCCTGGGACCAGGGCTCGTGGTAAAACTCCGCCCTCCTCTCCTCCTCAGGGTTCCCCACCACGTCTGTCATTAACTACAGACAAGAGAGGAATCATTAATGATAAGACTACATAATAACCATGTTTAATATTAAATGTGATGTGAGGAATGATAAGAAGTATTTGGATTTTTCATTTAAGTAAAGAGAGCAATATAGTATATATGTTTCAGTTTGTTTTGTACCAATACACCCAAAGCAAATGTCTTTTGAGTGAAAACCTACTTAGCAATAAACCAATGTAGTTCTGTTCTGATTCTGCCACAGTGTAAAATGACTCCACGTCAGTTGAACTATGGTATTTAAAATGTTATTCAAGTAAAAGTAAAATTCCTTACTAGATAGAATCTCACTGTGAGATTATATGATTACAGATGGATTTTATGTTGTAGCTGGAAAAAATAAGTCATTTTAAAATGTTTTAACATAGAGTTTAATCAATTAACTTATCAGATTTCATAACATTAGAAAATGTGTTGTATGCCAAAACTTGTTATTCAAAGTGACCAGTAACTACATCTCCTTAGGAAAGGAGACACACATGAGTGCCTGTGTGTGTGTGCGTGTGCGTGTGTGTGTGTGTGTGTGTGTGTGCGTGTTTGAATATCTAACCTTAAGGTCCCGGCTCTGGGATTTGAGCCAGTCCTGGATGTAGCCCTTGGGGTCTCTGGAGAAACTGAGCATGAAGTCCCTCTGGATCTTCAGCTGGTTGATGGACTCGATGGTCTCATGGATCTGAAAGGGGAACAGTTACAAATGTCATTTTCCTGATTTAAAATAGATCCAAAATGTCATAAAATAAATGAAGATTTTGTATCCACTCTCAGAAAAAAAAGTCTTTAAACATTTACAAACAGGAAATACACATTCCTCAGGAAATGTAGCCTTTATCTTTATAAAATATGGTGATCTTTTCAAAAGTGTATGTGATAAAAGAAAGGATAACATATAAATGGGTATATCTCTGCCATCATGCTAATATTGAATGCCAACAAACTGGCACAAACTTTCAAAAAGCTGATGCAAAAGAGTTAAAAAAGAAAGTACAAAATGAAAATGTGTCCATATATTTATTACAAAAAGATATATCAGTTATTTGTATGTCAATTGTACAACAGAAGAATGTATTTCTGACTTTTCTTTTGGCCTTCAAGCTCAAACACAGCATCAAATGTCAGTTTAAAAGTTTAAATCTGTCTGTGAAACATAAATCTTGGCCCCACATAATGGTGTGGGATTGATCACAAGTAACTACCTGTAACGCTTCTGTTCAAAATATATGCAATAAATCTGGTTGTTCCCATGTGGCTGCTCAGTTAGCTCCTGAGTTAGATCGACACATCGAAGCTGAATCGCTCCTCAGTGTGTGTTCTGTGAGGCTCACCTTGTTGTCCAGGGTGGCGATCTCCTGCTGGTTGGCGGTGGAGAGCAGGAAGCTGCTCATCTGCCCCTTCAGGGGGTCTTCCACCTCCACGTCAATGTCGTAGCAGGCCGTCTTCTTCTGGTCGTTAGGATCCACGCTGACAGGGAACAAACGGTCATCATCAGAACTATGTCAAAAATGCTTAAAGACACATTTTGGTTACTTCCCATTCATTGTTTTTGACTGCCTATCTTTTCCATGAAGCATGCATAATACAGTTTAACCTCAATACAACTTTTAGGATTCTACCTGATCACATGGTTGATGACGATGGGGTCGGGGGGCAAGAGGAGGTTGGTGAGGCGTTGAGGGATCTCAGAGAACTTCAGCCGAGGGCAGTCGAAGATCTGGAGAGGAGGGTACAATATAATTGTTGGTAAGTAGTTTCCTTTAGGTGTTAAAATGTATTTAAAAAAAATGTAGGAAGAGTGAGCACACTGATTTTCTTTGACTGGAATTGTAGAAAACATCATAAGGTTGAGTGTGTATGATGTATATTTTAGAAATTACAAGTAGCAGTCAGTATTGCAAGGTAGATATATTTCATAGTACTCGTGTTTTTCTAGTTATTTTCAGCAGCATATTTTTTGTAAGATAACATAATATAAGAGGTACTTTATTGATCCCAAATTGGGATTTTCTTTTGCGTTGCAGCAGCATAAAAACAAAACACTATTGAAGGGCTTTAGACACAATATAAAGCAGGATATTATTTACATTAAGAGTGTAGGGAATGGAATATTAAACAACTGTATGATTTATTCCACATAGAGTCCCATACCTGTTGGAAGTACTTGTCACAGTTGATGTACTCCTTGTCATGAGAGTCCTGCAGCTTGTTGGTCTTGACGTATTGCCAGAGCGCCTGGATGATGCAGGAGCGGGTCTGAGTGTGGATGCCCAGCAGGCGCGCCAGGCGAGGGTCCAGCTTAAACTGGGGGGGCTGCGGGGACAATAGGACCGCATTAAAACACTTTTGAGGCCTGAAAGATGTCATGGATTGTTGTCAGAGTTGTGAGGGGGGTGGCGCCCTCACCTGGTAGTCCAGCATCAGCAGCAGGGTGCAGCGCACGCTCACGTCCCCCGGCCTCTTCACCTGGAAGCCGTCCGTCTCCTGCGTGGTGCCCGTGCGGTGCCACTGTAAAAGCGAGCCACCATACAATGACTACACACCCCAAACTGAGGTGGTTTATTCAGACTGAATGGAAATGTTGTTTTGTTTCACACTTATTGAAACAGAATTAATTACTGCTTTAGAGGCAACAATCATTTAAATCATGTTTTTTCTGCAACAAACACTTTAAAATCAACTAAACTACAAATTACAAGAATATTAAAATATACACTGTCCCATATTCTAAAAAGTGATTTAAATAAAGTGAGAGCACAGATTCTGAAGACCCTGAATCACTGGTGTGAATCAGTCAGTCAGAGCAGGCTTTTTCAGGAGGGGGGGGGGGCTTAAAGACACAGGCGTTATAATGGATGAATACAGGTATATTCTGGCAGACGGTGTTAGCAAAATAATGTGTTTTTGGAACATTAAATCATTAAAAAATGTTCTTATAATAGAATAATTAACATGAAAATAAGCATAATATGTCTATTTTAACAGTTACATATCACCCATCATTCTTAAAGGTCACCTATTATGCATATTGTCATGTATTTTATACATAAGTCACATATTATGTGTGTCTCCACTGTGTAAAGAGATTCGGAAAGTTTCAGGAATAAAGATTGAGGGCAGATCATTTGCATTTAAAACTTTCGTGTATATCTGGGACCTATAGTATATTGTTGAAAAAGAGTATAATAGGGGACCTTTAAAATAAACATACTGCACACTGTATATAGTGTATGTATGCAGGCCAATTTTGTGTATTACCACTCACTTTTTGTATTTAAAGATTATATTATTCATGAATTGTAACTAATTAACTGCAAGAACGTATTATAATTCCTTAGCTGTACTTTGTGTTAGTGCTAACTATCAAATAACAGCATGCTAAAAAATAAAGTATATCTTCTTCTTCCATCTTAACGAAATGGGTAACATGGTAAACATTACATCTTCTAAACATAAGCATTTTAGCACGTTAATCCCTGAGCTTTAACTTTGATTACTGGTTCATATTTAATGTTATAGAGAAATACTTGAAAATGTTCAGTGGCTTTTAGGAAGCTGCAGACTGTTCGCGGCAGAGGATATGACATAATTAACAGATACAAATAAGTCACCTGTTTTTAGCTGCCTTGATCTTGACCTGGAGTGCAAAGCATGTGGTTTGGTCAAAGGTTACATTTTTTAAACTAGCCATGCAGAGAGTGCTGAGAAACCAAGATGGCAATAGGGTAACCATGGGGATGTGTACTAATGATATCACACACTGTCCTGCAGACTAACACCAGAAAGACTTAACATTAGCCCGGCAAAGATTCTGTGCTGATTATGCATATCAGAACCTCCTCTCTATTTAACCACAGTTGAAATACTTTTATCTTACCAGCTGAAAAGAAAAGCACTTTAAGCACCATCTTTATGACAAGTAACTTGGCATGCAATACAGAATAATTCTGTCTTTCAACGAACGGCTGAATTAGAGCAGATCAGATACTGATTGTACCTCAAGGTAGAGAGAAATATTTGTTTTATTGAAAATCATTCAAAGCGTTTCCATCTGAGTGCCATGCCAAAATACCTACTAAAAAGGAGGACCTTGGGAAGTCGTAATTTTTTCACTTTGGCGCTCTTAAAGTGTGTTTTTTAAAGTCTCATTCTGTGGAGATACAAAGTGTAGGGCAGCTAATGATGTTTTTTTAATAACCAAGCACTTCTCAGGCTCTCACAGCTGTGTCTTAAAACAACCTTGCATTTATAAAAACATCAAGTTATTAATGAGGGAAGAGGGCAGTCGCTCGCTCAGTCTGTTTTATTTTGTATTCATCCGAAGGGGACGTAAAAAATAAGCAGCAGGTTAGAAGGGTGACAAGACTTCACAAAATAACATATTCAGTAGAAAATCTCTCCCCTGCACGATGAAGAGGCCGTCACTGACCCTGACTGCATGAATATACAGCCATATTCACTGATTAGTGCCGCATACAAAAGCTGTTTTGCTAATAGATGTGATCTCAAATGAAAAGCAATGACCCACTCAGAGAAAAACAACATTTTAAAGAGACAGCGTCAAATAAAACAGCTGCTTTGAAAAGGTCGAATCAGGCAACATAATTAAAAACACCTGAGTGGGTGGACAACAGGTGTGTTAACGAGCTGAACCCTTGTTAAGGATATCAGCTTCACCTGTGATTACACAATGAAGCTCATTAATAATATGTTTGATTGGGATGGTTTCATTTTCTACAACAGCCTGTCGCAGCGTCCTTCCTTTGTTTTCTATCAGACGCCTTAAACAGACATCTCTACGCAGACGTCACAAACTTTTCACAGAAAGAAAACAGGCCTTTACAATAGTCGATATATATATATATATAATATACTGTGCTGAATCTGAAATCTGTTACTCAGAAAAAACTTGCAGAATTGACTGTATTCACTTTTTTAAATTTGCTGCTTACAGTGCATTCATAACTAGAAATGGCTTTTCTTTTGAAGAAAGTGTGGTTTAATTGCAGGAAATTAAATTGCTTGTTGAAAATAGGACTTTAAACTGAAAGGCTGGCTTTGAAAGATTCATTTAATATATGAAAGGTATGGAACATTTTTGAGGTTTGAATAGAGTTTGTATTGAAAGTGCATAAACTATGAATGAGTAGGTAATAATTAAAAAATGTATGAGATTTTTTCAATCCTAACATTGCGTCCATTCATCTAAATGCATAACTTTTCCTGGAAAGCGTGGACTATTTCTGAAAGAATGAAAATAATAATGATAAATGTATCAACAATATTGTTAGGTGACAAAAAAATGTATTCTCTCTCCTGGAGAAACAACACCATGTCACTCGCCAAGAAAGCCCAGCAGCTACTTCATCCGCAAACTGAAGAGAGCAGGAGCCCCCCCACCCATCATGGACACACCTTCTACCGAGGCGCCATAGAGAGCATCCTCAGCAGCTGCCTCACGGTGTGGTTCTGAAGCTGCACCGCATCCAACTGTACCACCCTGCAGCGCATGGTGAACACTGCTGAGAGGATCATTGGTGCCTCCCTCCTGGACCTTTACAACACCCGCCTCACCCGCAGAGCACTCAGCATTGTGGGTGACCCCCTCCCATCCCTCCAAAGAAATGTCGTTGTACTTTGTATAACGACAATAAATATATATTCTTCTATTCTATCTTCTATCCTCACCCTCCTGCCTTCAGGGTCCCCCAGCCTCAGGTGGAGCTCCAACAGACTCAAAAACAGCATTTCTTTTTCACCAGGCTGACATTTTGTGTATGTTTGTGCATATACATATATGTATATATTTTTAGAATATATTTGTAATCTTTGGGACAGTGCAAAACTGAATTTTTGTAACACTCGATCAGAGATATTGATCGAATGTTGACTTTGACTTCCTCTGTTGACAGAGTGTTTGAACTAACCTCAACCAGGTGATTGTCAGGACCGTACAGGTCTTTGTCCAGCTCGATCACCAGGCTCTTAAAAAATGAGGAGAACTTCTTTTTCTGCTTCCCCGGCTGCGAAACAGATAGGGAAATGTGTTAGTATCTAAAGTCAGACACACAAATGCAAAAAGCACACATTGGTCTTTGCTCACAGAGACATTACTCATCATAAACACATAAGAGGTCGAGAGAGATCAAAAGGAAAGTAAGATACTAGACATTCTCAAGGTCTACTTCCTCAGAGCTTCACCAGAAATATTTGTGGTTTGTGAAACCTAAATGCTTCCTACCGCTGTGAGATGACGGCCTTGCCCCGGACTGCTAAGAACATCAGAGCTTTTTGAAGAGAAGCTTACGGCTCAACACAGCCTCTCTTAATACTCACAACACAAGTCATTCAGTTTGATATTCTGAGCCAGCAGACACTTTTCTGTTTGTTTGAGCACATCATCATAACCACAGCAGCACACTTTAATAGGAAGATTATGATTTTAAGCAGCTATTTAACGACATAATAGTAAACCCTACATCACCTTTACGTTGGATATGTGATAAAAAGCTAAGGCATAAGACACCAATTTCAACGTGCACTGTATATTTTAAATGCACAACACGTACGTCATCCAGCAACTTCCCCTCTACTCTCAGTTCCCATGATGCAATGCTGCCGTCTGAGTCATCAGCGTCTGGTCTTGCAGGGTTGAAGGTGTTGGATATGTAAAGCCTCAGTTTACGCTTCTGCTGCTGACACAAGGGCACATAGAAACACCACAAATCAAACGGACATTCCACAAAATCTTTAATAAAAATGCTTTAGGTATATAAACAGATTATAAAGAAAGATTAGTGATTGAATATTATAAGTTTTTAGCCTAGAAATGGTACTAAATTTGTGTTTTAAGATGAGAAAAACCCCAAAATTGGCCATTTATACCCTTTCAATATGGTTTGTAGAAGCAAATTTGATTCCAAAATTGGTGTTTTAGACGGGGCTTATTGGCTTCTGATGTTTTTTCCTTACCTTCATTGGTCTCTTCAGTGCTTCCTGGATGTCCACTCGTTTGCGCATTATGGTCTGGTCCAGTTTGCGCTCAAACGCCAGCAGATCCATGTAAGCCTGAGATTCTGGCACCAGCTCACGGATCTGCTCAGAGGAGAGACAATGTGACATTAAAACCTTTAATATATACTATGTGAATATCACTCAAGGCTCAAGCAGAATAGCTGTATACTCCGCTTTGGTGCTGCAGGGGGTCCAATGTCTTGTTTCAAGGACATTTAGCCCCATTACATATAGTATTATTTCAAGGAATGGTAATTTAAAGACAAGGGTAACAATCTTCTCATCCATCCTTAAAGACTTTTGCAATTTTCGCAAAATGTAAAACTATTCCTTTCAGTTTTATTTGAAGTATCTTGAACATTGGGAACATTTCACACTTCATACAGTGTCACAAAAATACTCCACAGGTGTGACTGTAAAAAAAAACCAAGACAAATTTTGAGAAAATGGAAATGTTATATATGCTTAATTTTATACCCATTTCTTCAAAATGCAGACATTCATCATACACCTGTGCCACAAAACAAGTTTGAGGAGTCTCAGTTTTAATACCTTGTTGTTACATAAAAACTAAATATGATTACTCAGATTTAAATGATTACATTAGATATGGAGTATAAGTTATTTTTCCCTCAAACCGCTGCCCAGCCCACCATTAATACGGTTTCCACAGCATCCTGGGGACAGTGGGGGGGATCAGAATGAGATGCAGAGTGTGCAGCCAAGCAGCCAGGACTCACACATTACCATACCGATGAAAGTCCTCGGAGCATCAAGGGCTGCTGCTCACTTACCAAACTGTGCACACACACACGGTCCTACAGTTTGCTCCCTCTCCTCCCTCCCTCTGCTTCTCTCTTTCATGTTTCCTTTTCTAAATGGCTGCCTTCATTGTTCCCTCTCATTCCTTCTCTATCTCCATCTCAATGCCTTTCACCGGGCTGAGGTGGCGAGCAGACTGAGGAGTGTGGCAGACATTCCCTGTCCCTGACTCATTATTGTGGAGTGGCGCCCCAGCCATGCCTACCGCTATCTCTCTGTCTGGGTTATGTTAGAGGATAAGACCCAAGCTAAGACAAATACAGTCTCCAGCCCACCGTAGTTTCAGTTTGAAAGCCGTGGTGAGGTTATTGTGTGGTACAGGGCCGCAAAACTGAAAGAACGGGATGTAAAAATCACCTGATAGACTCACCTGTGGCAAGGTGGCGATTCTCTTTCGGTTCTACTTAAGTGTCTGCCATATCCTGCTGATTTCTCCAATTTAACTCACTGAGCCGCCTTCAAAATAACATAATAAAACCCCTTATAAATAACCCTAAACCCCCTGATCGCGCCCTCATACTCTCTCCCCTCATTTCATAATAACACACAATCGTCTGGCCCTCTGCGCCTTCCAAGAACCCATGACATTAAAAAACAATCAGGATTTTTCTGTTGTGCACACCAACACCTAATAACACACACGCATTAAGTAAACATAACAACAAAGGTAAAAAAAACACATTGCAGCCTCACCCTTTGCGGAAGAATCTTGTCTGCCATTTTCCTTCTCTTAGCACTGGAGAGAGGGAGAGAAAGACAGAGAGAAAGAGGAAAAAGAGAGCATGTTACTATGGTGACTGATAGCGTAGCACCCAGGCCATCTGCTAAAATGCTGGGCCATATCCAGCACCCCAGCATCCCAGCTGTGTGTGTGTGTGTGTGTGTGTTTGCTTTCTGAAATGCAGCAGCCCACTTGGAGAACAAGAGCCTCTAACGGCCCAAAAAGTGCCTCATCAAAGACCTATTGCCTTGCATGTATACGCACGCACACGCACACGCGCACACACACACACACACACACACACACACACACACACACACACACACACACACACACACACACACACACACACACACACACACACACACACACACACACACACACACACACACACACCACACACACACACACACACACACACACACACACACACACACACACACACACACACACACACACACACACACACACACACACACACACACACACACACACACACACACACACACACACACACACACACACACACACACACACACACACACACACACACACCAAAACCTTGTTTTTATATACTTACCGAGGTAGAACTGAGGACAATAAGTCGCTGAAGTTGATTTCGCTGTCAGAACTATATTTCTTGGTGACACTGATTACAAAAGCAACACTACAGCGACTTTCTCTATTTAAAGTTTCTTAAATATTGAATCTGTGGACACCTTTCATATGTCATTTCATGCAAGTGTTCTGTTGTTGGTGCCTATAGGAGGGCATTTCCTATAAAACACCAGGATGGCCCTACACTGCAAAAAAAGCTCAAAAACAAAGTCTAAAATAACATATTTCTGGACAATTTAATAATATTTTTCTAATGAAAGATAATTAATCCTACTGCGCGGGGCATATCGTTGTTTTGTCTAAAGAAGATAAAGACTGCATGAGCAAATTGCTCTTTAATCGTGTCTAAGCATACAAACTTAAATTGAGCTACATTGAAGAACACTTTCATCATCTTTATTGTGAATTTGAAAAGTTTCACTGCTTTAATCAACCCTCAAACAGGGGGAAACAGCTTGTGGTCTCTTTCTGAAGGTAAGAAAATCCACCTTCCAGCAGCACTAGAGCTGACTAATTAACACTTATCTCCTTTGTTGAGACCATAGAATAATTGAAGTGTAAAAATGACACATAACTCAGTATAAAAATAAAACGTGTCATATTTTACACTTCCTTTTGTACAGATTTAACAAACAAAATACAAAGTGTTAATTAGGTAGATTCTGTTACTTCTAATAGAGCCAGGCTAGCTGCTTTCCACTATATCCAGTCTTTATGCTAGGCTAAGCTAAGCTAGGCCAAATTAAGCTAAGCTAGTGTGTCCATCTCTTCAACCTGCTCTCTGCAACAAAGTCAATAAATGTCTTTCCAAAAATGTCAAATAATTATATCAAGGGTAGATGGACTTTAGTAGTGGTCTGATTTCTAAAATAGTTCAAAAATAAATCAGCTTAGGCCTACCTGATTTATGGTTTGATACTGGGGTTGGGTAATATGTATAAAATATTCTGAATTGGTCATTCTATATTGGGATATCATATAAAAAAAGCGAATTTAAAATAGAATAACGAGAAAGAGAACAAAAACAAATTGAAACTCTGGTTTGGCCAAAAATAGAGCTATATAAATACAGTTTATTAATGTATCTATATGGTGTATATGGTAAAGGTATATCGTCATATCACCAAATCGCTAAACCCTAATTGGTTGTGGAACATTTCTTTAGATTACATTACTTTTTTTCTGTTTATAGATCTGGATTTTTTTTGCAGTGTAGGGAAATGTTCTATTACAGAACACTGCAACGGTCTGTTACATCAGCATGCCAAATACTGAAACAAGCCTGCTGCAGGGAGGATTGAAAGATCCAGGGGTGCATTGCATAGGAAAACAAAAACCTGCATCATTAAAAAGGGGGGTTGAGATTATATTCTACTTTATGTTTCTGTTCTGGCTGAAACAAACTGTTCCCATCATGCCATGCTCCAGTCCAAAGCATGCACCACTACATTTTAGGGGGTGTATATCTAGGCCTGGACGTATAGCCGGCCAACACACTTCATTCAAGGAGTGCTGGGCTCTGGTGAAATTCTAAATAGGCCAGAGTCATCAAACGTAAGAAAACGGACATGCAGCAGAATAAACTCCTACTTTGATCCGAGCGTGGGATCTGATTGGGGCTCTCTCATGTCCATCTGCCTCGCCGGCATCTCATTGGCTCCGGGGAATCCGACAGGCTTCCTAAATATGGTGGGGATTCGAAGGTTGTCCGATTAGAGTTGTGGCGAGACACACACTCACGTATGATGTCAGAGGTGGGGGAACACCTGGTGGTTGTGGCTGTTTTGTATGTGTTGGGTGTGTGTTAAGTTCAAGGGTGTGTTAGTAGGTGCACACTCTAAAACTCAGACAAGGGCAGGCACTGGGGGGGGGGCGTGTAACTGCGTCCATGCACGCAGAGGAGGAGCAGAGGAGGAGCAGAGGAGGAGCAGAGGAGGAGCTGGGGGGGGGGGTCCCGCTCATCTGAGGGACACGCTCATTCAACAAGGTTTCTCTGTGAACCAAAACAATCATGCTTCACACACACAGACAGACAACACACTGAAAACACTGTGAACTCGTGTCTCACAGGAAAACAGGCTGGGTGTGAGTTCAGCTCTATTGGATGTTGCATTGAGGAAATAATGTGCAGATGAAGACAACATGCATGCTATTCACAGCTTGTTGCTCATCACCGAAAACCAAAGCTCAAATCTTTTAAAGTATTTCCACTTTCTAGCCCCTCAAACCAACTGAAACTGAAACCCTAGGTAACCGCTAGTTCTGAACAGCAAGGAATGTTTTTAGGTCTGTTCAAGGACAAAGACTAGCAGCAAAAATCAAGGTTCATCAGCACTTCATAGATAATGTGCTGTAAAATAGTTGCATCAAGAAGAGACCAGGTACATTTTCACTTTGATTCTGTGAAAGCACACTGAAATCAACAGACTGGTGGATTCAGAGGCTCACAGATTTGAGCTGTTTGTAGCAATCGCTCAATTCAACTTACATTTTTTTGAAATAGTGGAACTGTTGTGAAAAAGCCCCACGTTTTCAACTAATTTAATGCATCTTGATTTTACCCTCACAAGATGTAAGTTAAGGGCACAGGAATCATTTCCCTACATGGCATCAGAATGAGTATGATGATATGAATCTGAAATGTTATGCCTAGGATCATGCTTTAATATTATTTCTCACTTTAAAGAAAGCACACCTGAGATAAATCCACACAGACAACTTTGCTTGAAGATCATGTCTAACAGTATTTCCTGCTACGAGACACAGGGAAAATACTCTACATTCATTTATGCTTTAACCTCATTGTGTTTTCTTTGATACAAAAGCTTTCCAAACCTGTCCCCTACATTTAAATTAGACTCATTTGCAACAGCAAATATGTTTTCTAGTAACGCAATGAGGAAGACACACTTGGTGTCAAAGTTGCAATCTGCCAAATTAGCAGTGTATGAACGTGATTAATAGGAAACGAGGTGAGGTATTAAGATTCTTTATGTTTTTAGCAGCATTGTGTAGGACAGCGTTTGTCTGCAGAGGGAGTGAGGCAGGGACCATAAGGTCTCAATGACACTGCAAACACAGGTGGCCCACCCTCAGCTGGCAGGAGCGGAGTGCAGGGGCATCAACTAAGTTTGCCAGAGGACACAAACTCTGTCACAAAGCCACAGAGAGACAGAGACACCTGGACGGGTCACCCTGGACCATCGATCAGACCCTTTCCGCAGTCAGCAGGGACGCTCCGGGGGTCGAAGCCCCGACGCAGGACAACATTTCCCCTGACCTGTTCGACAAGCCGGCTTAATTGTAAGTGGATCAATTGTGCTGCAGATACTGAGAGAATGAAACGGAGAGAGACAGAGGTCCACCGAGTGCGCATATCGATCTCTTTTCTAATGACCAAACATGCCACACTGGCCTCCTAACAGACATCCATCCGCTGTGTGTGCCTGGGATACTGATGTTCAGCTCCTTTGTCAAACAGCAGACAATAAGAGGAGAAGTACTAGAGCCTGAACGCCTGCAGACAACAGCATGGACACCACTCAGATAAGAGCATGGGGGCACACTGTACAACAAAGACCCAGGAAGAGTGAACAGAGGAGACGTTCAGTCACAGCAGAGGATGGGAGGGTGAGAAGTGGATGCACAGAGCGGTGAGCAAGCAGGAGATGCAATACAAAAAAGCAGTGGAAGAGTCAAAATAAAGGTTGAAATGAACGCTAGCAGAGACACACAAAGCTTAGGGGTTCACTTCGTGATTTTTGAAAGCACTTTCTATGAGATCACTGTAGAGAAATAGTTTGGTAAAGGTAAGCCCTGTCAAGCTGCTTGTTATGATAATCTTTATTACTTTTTCCTTATTAATCCAAAACTATTTAATGAATTTGTAAAAGAAATACAAAGTAAAATGCTCATGATAGCTTCCACTGGTTTTGTAAGTTCAACAGTTTTAAATCTAGAGACATTTTACCTGCTATAATCAAAACGTTAGCACTGTCATTGTTAGCATGTTAGCATGCTAACACTAGCATTTAGCATGTAGACTCTTTACGCACGGTTGACTCTCATCACTTTTATGATTGATGATTAATAATGACCAAAACTGTTAAATGATTTCCTAATAAATGTGTACGATTGGTATTTTATGTTTCACGACAATTATTTATCCAGTACCTACTCCAAGGAATATACATTTATCATACTTCCCAATACTTTAATAAACTTACCGGTGTAATCTGTTGAATGACAGTTTACTAAACGTTTTGGGCTAAAATTGACAAAATTACGAGTTTAGTCTGGAATTGTGTGCTCAGAAAATAACAAAAAACCACTAAGAATATGACAATCTGCTAAAAGATATTATGAATCGATGCCAAGCTCTTACTAATTGCCTGCCCATGATTCCATTTCCATGTTTGGTTTGCAGATCTATGCCAGACTATAAAGTGTAACCACAGCTTTTTCATGATGTCAACCACTCCACACAAAAGCAGATAAATAAGGAGTTCTATATGCAGGCCATGCAGTGTGAGGTAGGGGTTGGGGGGTGGGGCTGGATTCAGACTCACTTTCTGGCACGGCCCTGGACGGCCTGCTGCTGGACCTGCTGGGAGGGAGCAGGCCTCTTACGGCTGGGCTCCATCACGGGGTGGGCAGGCCGGGCCGCACCGCCGGGCTGCCTCCGTACGGGGGGCCGGGGGGGCCCATGGGAGCTCCCTGGTGGGGCATCCTCGCTCCAGACGGCATGCCAGGACGCTGGGGGGGAGAACGCAGGAGAAAAGACGGGTCATGATCAAGTAAAACAAACATTTTCCATTGTGAGTCATTATAATAACAAATTAGTTCGTCTAAAAATATAACAAAGGGAACATGAGATCAATGGCAGTTTTGTGCATTTCCTTGAAGTTTTTCAATCATCCTATCCGTCACATCAGCTTCTGATCCAGACCTCACACAATTTTCCTATTCAAAAATGAAATTCTGCTCTGCCTCTACCTTGTGTAACATTTGGTAACATTTCAGTAATCTAACAACCAACAAGTAAACATGAACAGAGACTAGGCAATCTGGTGACGTCATTTTACTCAAGTTTGAATCTTTTCCATCTGGCGCAGCAGACATGAAAGAAAGTGTAGTAAAGCTTCAAAAGACGTGCAATCTATTATGGGATTTGTTTGTGTTATAAAGGCAAAAATTAGAGGCCGACATAAAAATATGTAACCAAAACTTCAGACAACTTTTTAACCCTAAACGTGTCAGTGGAATCAATGTCAACGTTCAAAAACACTGAGAAAATCATTGTTGTTTTCTGTTGTCTACTTTTAGAAAAAGTGACGCTATGTCACGCACACACGTCTCCTAATTCCTAAACAATGCCAACAGTGTCAGAGCCCACAGTTTTACACACGCCTGGTGTTGACGCCTGGGAACAACTGGGGAACTCTCACCTGTGCTTGTCACTCCCATGGCAACAGCTGCCTCCCGCCTCAGTCTGAAACCAAATTGGGGATCGTGCGATATAAAGAAATCCTTTGACTCCTTTGAAGGAGAGCACAGACCACTGTGTGTGAAGAACTGTATGTCTTCTAATTAAATAAAATATATTATTTTAAATGTGTCAGAGGTGGACGAGATATTCAGATATTGTGATATATGTGAAAATATTCCAAAATCTACTTGAAAAATCATTTTCTAGCTCTCATCCTTCTGATATGTCACATTACTGAAGCTAAAGACGTTCCAACTGAAGCTTATATATGACTTAATAGTTCAGTTGATACAATAGATGGCCAAAAGAAATTGAGATTTGTATTTAAAAGCTTGTGGAAATGTAACATTTTGCCATAATGCACACAGAGGTAATGTCATGCAACTATTGAGTGTGACCACCACTCAAATAAGCAGAATATGGACATTTACTCTAATGTTGTTAACTGAAGGGAACCCAGGGGAAGGACTAAGGGTGGGGGGTGGTTCTGATTAGGGGGGCCAGTGTTTTTATTTTGCCCTGAGGTAGGATAATCCAGCCCTGTTATATGGTTTAAACTTTAACAATGTAACGTCTTTTATAAGACCATTGCAGGGTTTAAATGAAATCTTAAATATAAATTAAGTACAACTTTCAGATAAAATAATCCAAGTAACAAGTATTTTCCTATGAAGTATGGAGTAGTACAAATATGTGGTTGAATAAAATGGAGGAACTTTAGTACAAGTACCTCAAAACTGGATGTAATCCCACAGTTTAAGTAATGATACTCCACCACTGAAATGCATTTTGAGCACAGATGAATCCAAAGATATGACAGTGATTGATGGTTCCTTAGTTAATATCAAACTATAAATATTCTACAAAGGACCGACAACTTGCCAGTTACACCACGTAACAGTCTATTCTTTTTCTACCTCTTTATTATTCACAAACACATTTAAATCTTGCTGTTAACAGAGCCATAACTTAACAGACCTTGACGTTTAACCATCGCCTTGCAAGAAAATATGTCTTCTTTCAAATTGGCACAGAAACCGACTGCTACATTCTGTAACAAATGAGTAAATGCTCAGAGAAAAAGAGGCAGCTAAAGGAGATTACATTTCCCCAAATTTCACACTATTAGTCACCTGTACATTTATATTACTGGAAGTACAAACACGTCAGATTTGATCTTTAGACTCTCCACAAACATGTTAAATCAAACAAAGAAGATCAGAGATTTAATAAAACCATTCGAGAGGCTGGCGTATTATGTGCCTTTTGAAATGGTGACCAGGCAGAGATCCTGCGATAAGAAGCCCGAGCAGGCGGCGCTGTCACTCTGGCTGGGGGGAGGGGAGGTTGGGCGGGTCAAAGCAACTGAGAAGGGTCTCAGAATGGGGAGAGGATAAGACAACATATGGCCAGGGGCTCCTGCCTGAATGTTGTCAACCTTGTGGAGCTTTAACAGACTCTTTATCTTCCTACCTAAGCTGGGCAATAACAGGCTACACTTCCAGACTTCTGTTACAACTGCTGTCTGGAGAACGGGAGATACAGAAATCCATAGCTGGATCATGTGTAGTATGAATCCCCCCCCAGACACTCACAATGGGTTGTACTCTATAATCTGACCTGCTGAACTGACTCCAAATCTGGGCCCGGAGCTCTGCCAGCCAGCCAGCAATCGAAGCGGCCATGTGGAGGGATATCTGAGAAGTGTGTTGGCATCTCTGGAGGGATTTGAAGAGGCCAAACTTAACCCACACTACTAAACATGAGAGTCTGTGGGTTGCAACACGCATGGTCCCTTTTAAAAGCTTTGATTGGAATCAAATCTATTAAAAACTGAAGCGGAGGGTCCTTGAGCGGGACGTGACTCATATTTACAGATTAAATTATTATTTGAATTTATCATCAATTAAGTGTCAGAAAAAAACCGAAACAAATCCAAGTTATATGTTGTTTAAAAGTGATATCATTATAAAAAGGTCAGTTTAGCTAACATCCTTATAAATTCGGACAACATTTTTTATAACCATGCGAGTGCTGCTTCAATATCAGTGTTTTGTGACTTTCAGAGGAATGTGTGGTGAAATTTGAACATCATATTTTTTGTAATATCCGCCTCCCCCCAATTACAATAGAGGTAAATGGAAGTGAGATTACTCAGATTCAACAGTGACCTCTCTTTAAAATAGAAAAACGTGTCCCTGTTAGTTTTGATCCAAAGAACAAATTCTGGACAGTTTTGATCCAAAGAACAAATTCTGGACAGTTTTTATGAAAGGTATTTCTTTGGTAAAAATCATTTCAATGATCATGGCAAGGTCTATGGATTAACCAGAGTAACATGGACATTGGTCAAAGGACCACAGAAACATATCTTTCACCTTCTTTGTATTGATTTGAAGGCGAAAAAACTTAACCTTTTAGGAAAATAAAACTTTCCTCATGGGCAAATCTCCAAACTTTGAACATTGGACAAAATCCTTAAATCGTCGAATCCGGTTATATTGATCCAGAGTTTAAAGGGGCATTTCGTGTTCAAAGGTCTCACAGTAACACACTCAATATTTGCAGATGACAACGCAACAGTGTGTCATATTATGTTTCGGCTTATCGGGGTTTCCCACGCAGAATGCTGCAAGGCCCTCGCTGACCTCCACACACACACACACACGCCAGAGAAGTAACACAGCAGGGGGGGGAGGTGAGGCAGATAATGAGAGAGAAAGAGGAAGAGACCGACCTCAGCCCACCCATCAGACCTAGAAGCAGAACTCGGCCCAAACACACTCCCCCACAACACACACTGCTGCTGGGAGGCAGGAACACTACGACCTTCAGTAACCACAACAATGTGTGTGTGTGTATTTAGATATATTGCTACATGTGGATGCACGTGTATAAAAACTTCATGAAGGGGGGAAAGAAAACGTCATAGATCGCCCACAAGCTCACAAACTGCGACGATTCATCCCCGTGTCCCATAGTATAAATATTTCTACATTCTACAGTATACACAAAAAAAAGGAACCTGCCGCAACTATTATAACAGGACTTTTTTTCCATCTTTAAACGTGGAGGGGATGGAGGGGAGAGGCAGTGGAGGGAAATATTTGGCTTGGAGCAGCCAGAACCTCATCAAGGTTAATTGGTCTGTGGAGAGGACACACTCATCTGGATCATCAATCACCTGCTCCATTGTTTCCCTAAGTCTGTGTCTGCGCAGCCCAAAGCCCCCGTAATGACCGATCCTGTCAAACAGACAATACCTCATCTTGTTCAACTGTATAAATCTACCTGGTGTCAGTGCGCCCAACATCAGCGCTGATTAAAACGCAGGAAATCAGACCTGAGCCGATGCTTGTTCTGTGATTTTAAGACATAAAAAAAGGGTTTGACAAATGAAGTCTTTCTGACCTTCTCTGTGTACTTGAGGATTAAGAAGTGATGCCAAGTTTCAGGAACTGTGCAAATTCAGGTCATCGGAAAGTGAAAACCACATCCAAACAATAAGACAACATTTATGATAAGTGAGGTCGTGTCTGATTACTTTCTAGATGAATTGTTAGGTCTATAAAGTATAAGGAAATAGTGAGATATTCCTTTTACACAGGTTGCTTGTTAACCTGATCCAACAACAGCCATATATTCACTCTTGAAAAGCCACAACGGCAGAGTATTTTTACATTTTTGTTTGAAATAATGACTGAAATAACTAGAAAAAACAACGATAGACCTCTGGGAGGGTCATGAGATGATTTGGTGATACCAGTTGATTTTTTGGGGTGGAATATAATATAAAATAAATTCTGCTGCACAATCGTATGATACTTCTTTTGGACTTTTGGTCTCTAGACTGTGTGAGTCAAGCATCATAATATTATTGTCTGCACCTCAGCAACATCTATTTAGATCCCTGATTCCAGTCTGGTTGTTCCCCATCCCTCCATTCCCCTATTGCCTGCTATCTCTTTACTTTCAGTTCGCTACTACAGAGAGCATAAAATGCCCCAAAATATACAAGTATTAAACGAAAATGAATGAAAATGTAGTGTTCAATTTCGCAAATAAATACTATAAAGCCTTTGTGACGTTCTCCATGTACAAGAGGAGAGGAAATGAGTCCAGGTTTCAGGATCTGCACAAAAGGTGAAATTAATTTGAACCAAAACGAGGAGAAATTATAACGTTCCTCAGGAAATTGAGATTTATGAAGAATTTATATTTTCCTAGGTCAGGGTTAGATTAATCAAACTATTCCCCAGATGTCAAAATAAACATAATTTGATTTTGGATTTCAAGCTGGACAAAACATTTGAAAATGTCACCTTGAGCTTTAAGAAGTCGCAGTGGGTATTAATTCTAAAACAAATTGAGTGAATGATTAAGCAAAGAAAATGAAATGAATGGACAAAAAGATTGGTTATTGCCATAAATCCCCAGTTTATTTACCCGCTTGAGTCAATGTCAAAGCCACATCTGCTAGAACTTTCAAGTGTCACTGACTTCCCATCACCCTCAATCCTCCCATTCATCCAGCTCATTACCAAAACACACTGCTACTGTCATCCATGATGTGTTATTAAAGTGTGGTAACAGTTGCCTAACCTCTGAGCATGAGCAACACTTGACTTGACATTTCACGCTGGCTTCACATGAATGGGTTGATTGTTCTGCATGATTTCCAGGATTGGCCGCATGCCTCGTCTCCGTCTACGCTACTACGTCCGTTTGTCTCGTGACCTTACAGGTTCAAATCCTTCCACCAACCAACACCACGCTGCCTGGAAGGCTACTCTTGACTGTTGTTGTGAGTGGACTCGTCATCCCCCCCCCCCCCCCCCCCCCCCCCCCCTTGTCTGTGACTCTCAGGGAAGCAGTGTGCTCCTGTGTTAGCCAAAGGGGGAGCTGGCTGCTTTCTGCTGCTGCTAAGCTTCTATTCCTTCAATTTTTCTCTGTGTGTTAGAATTCCTCAGCTTCCCATCCTTCTCAGCTCCATCCATCCATGCTGCTCCACTTCTTATTCTCTCAAGCTATCTCCTAACAGGCTGGGATCCAGGGGGGTGGGGGCTGGAAATAACCTTCACATGGCCAGCTTTACCCAGCTATCTCTCACACACAGACCGCTGCTGCTGCTGCTGCTGCGCCGACCCATGCACACAGACACACAGACACACAGACACACATGCCAGCTCTCTTCAAGGGAATGATGGACAGCGCCACTCACCACTCCATGGACCAGGAACTCAAACAGTTTGCTCTTGGTGGCTTTCCTGGCTCCCCCCGCCGTGTCCTCCGTAGCCATTTGCTCAGTCCCCTCCGTTCACCCTGCGATGTCTCCCCTCTCCTTCTTTTGTCTTTCCCTCTCCCTTCACCACCAAGCCTCCTGTTCCCCTCCCCTGCTCCACTTTCCTTCTCTTTGTGCTCTCCTTTACAGCACTGCCTGTCCCTGACTCTCCTTCTCTCTCCCTCTCTCTCTCTCTGTTCCCTCCCTCTGACTCTATTTTGAATGTGCAGCAGCCCTGCCGAGTCTCTCACTGTGTCTCGCTCACTTTTTAGTTGAGCTGCCTTTCAGGAGCCCGGCACGTCGCTTTGAGGTGGAAGGGGGGGTGGTCGGGGGGGAGAGGCTGTACGGGGGTCTGGCAGGGGGGTTTCAGCCAGCCCACCCTGCCGCTCCCCCGCACAGCTGTTGCATTCCATTGGTAGATAAGGGCATGCTGCGCGGAGAGGCTGCCGTTTGGTCTAAACGGGGGCTAGGGAGGTTAGAATCAGTTTCTCTGCTGTAGCTCCCCCCCCCCCAACACACACCCCCAGGGTGACCAACACAGAGGCCACGGTCAGCACACACAGACCTCCGAGTCCTGGGCTCGTTTTCATAAAAAGGACGGTGGGCTCTTAAAGGGGCCACGCTGCATATCATTAACACATGTGTAAGTACATGATCTGCCACACATGATGGAGTCATGATGAGCGGGAGGGTTCTTGCTCGATTAAAAGCAAAGCAGCTCAAGGTAGAGACATTACATTTGTCTTTGAGTGTAGAGCTACTCTCGTGTGCTAAAGTCACTTCACAAGAGCAGAAGGCCACGTCAAGAGCACCTTCACTTCCTGTGTTTCTGTGCTGGCTTTTGTCAGAGTGCATTTATAGGTTAGGAGTGTTTCCTCTGCTCACCTCATTAGCTTTTACCTTTCACCCACTACTCGGCCCAGGGGCTGCAGTGTAACAGCAAACAAACCGGCCGGTGTGCTCAGCAAGGTGACTGGGTCACTCAACACGTGTAATTAGGTTCTGCTGGGACTCCTTGCAGGCTGATTTTTTAAAGAGTTATTTTCATAAGCAGGCAACTGATAGCTGAAAAATAAAAAAAACATCTCCTACTGGTGAGAGGTGATGAATAAAACTTATTGAAATACTGTTTGTCTGGATTTTTTGCTAATGAGTCTTTCTCCAATTACTATTAAGCCTGAGCTTCGTCACCACACAGGTCATTACTCTGACTAAATCCACGCCATGTTTAGGATTATTACTCTTTCATGTCTCCTTCTGCACGAGCCCCTCTTCCTTTCTCTCCCTCCCTTCTTCCAGACGTCAGATCAGGGGAGTGAAATATTCATGAGGGTCATTTGAATGACAAAGGAGGTGGAGTGGGGCAGATACAAAGGGTGCTGCGCTTGTGACACATGTGGCAAATAGTCACTGTTATTGTTTCCTCTTCCTCTTTGCTCTGCCGGTGTGAAAACGGCAGAAACGTGTCAAAGTCAGGTATCAGAGTGGAAAGGAAATTACCCTCAAGATGATGGGAAGCTGTGACACAACCATTTTATTCAAGGGTTGTTCATTAAAAACGGGGCGTATTTATATACTCCAGGAAATTGTCTTTTAACCCCGTTCTTATCAACGCGAAGACGAACACTGTTATTGTGTGGACAGCTGGTTGGTGGTTCTGGGACCTTTTAGGCCAGAGGTCATGACCTTCTTGAGGATGCACCATCCCTCAGAGGCCCAAGCTGTTTTTATGCATCCATATGATCCATTAGACGTGACGTAAAGGCGCCATCGCTAACAGAAACGTAATCCAAAGGAAAAGCAGGAAGAGAAGCAAGATACAAATGTATGTCCTTCAAACTTCCTGATTATTGGAAGTTATTGATGGAAAGATCTGGCCCTCCCATGAGTTGCTGACAGCATTAGTTTGCTTGTTGGTGACACCTGGTGTTTAGATGAGTGTACTGCTGATTACAATAATCCACTCTGAAAGGCTTATATAGGAAATAAGGGAATCAAACCTCCTCTGCAAAATGTGTCTTTGCAGCCTCATACACACTTAGTCAAATACTGCAAAAATATCACTCCTCATTCACACTGTGCATTAAATAAACCTTGTGATACATAACATATGACACAGCTTTAAATATACAAGTCACACAGGCACATAAATGTATCTCAATTTCCTGCAAGGTCATAAACTCAACCCGTATCTATGCAGATTTTAAGATTGTGCCAATCTCCTGTTCAACGTCAACGACACAAGGATTCAACGATAACAAAGAGCTCCAGCAGCTCAGGCGATGCAAAAGGGAGCCCGGAGCGCAGGAGTACCCCCTGCCGGACCCCCACCGTCTCCCTTACCAAAGCCAGTCAGTCTCACCAAATGGTAATGTCCCAGGGTGTAGCAGACAGGGGGGTAGAGGGGGGCTAACAGGGGGCTAACAGGGGGTAAGGGAGCAGCAGCAGTGTTATTAATGACCAACAGAGGGAGCAAAGCGCCAGGCAGGAAAGAGCTGATCGTTTGAATGGAGGGAAGGATCCATGTTCAAGGCCAAGGTCGCAACAAATGGATGAGATTTTATAAAGTATGGAAGACTAAAAACACTCCAGGGACCAGAACTCTAATTCCAGCTAAAATGTTATTCTCTAAGCATCTTTTTCTGTTTTATTTTGTAATCCCTCAGTGCCTTATTTGTCCGCAGGAGGGAGACAAACGGCTCATACTAAGAGTCATGCTTCAGATATTACAATATGCAAACTGTCTAGAGCAGAACTGGCTGCAACTAGCATTTATTTCCATTGCGGTTTACATTTTTGAAACTGTTTTGGTGTATACAATGTCTAAAAATATCGGTAACTGCCTATGCCAGTCCTCCAGAAAGCCAATGTCTGTTCATGACTTCTTTTGTCCATATTCACAAATGATATAATGGAACTAAACAGTGTTTGACATAATTAACTTGAGTGTACTTAAAAGTATGTGATGCTGGGCTCACAGCTAGACCTTGCCTTATTTTAAAGGCTCTGAAAATTATTTAATATATAACTAAATAAGCAATTTATTGGTATTATCTTTTAATAGGATAACGCTCACAATCTCAAGTAACATGCTCAATAAGGACTGCATTGATGTGGTTTGATTAGATGTAACGGTCTGACAAGTTTAAACTGATTTAGATCCACATGTTTCTAAAGGTATAATACGTAACATCAGCTTATTCCAACTGAGCCTCGCCTACTTTAATCATGTGACAAAAGCAAGGACAAAAACTGAAATCTTTCAACTAAAATAACCCAAAATGTTGTTACTTTGTTCTTACATTTGGTGTATATGCAAGACAGCATCTCTCATACAATAAGACGCTTTTATAAATAAATAAAAAAGGGGTTAAGAGTCATTAATGGAGCGTGAATCCAAAAAGGTTGCAGGTGTTTAGTATCACAGTTGCAAGAAAACGAGCTGCATTCAATCAAAGATCCTTAAGAGGATATACAAATCAATTACTTGAGAATAAATGAAGTTATCATTGTAGTCAGATTTTCCTCAATCTATTCTAAAATAACATTTAGTGGAGTTCATTATTGTTAAGAAAAGCCTGGTGAAGGTGAATGTATTCCCTTTCTGTGCTCTGCTTAGAGGAAGATAATTTGCCTCAACAATAGGCTGAGCAGAAAGAGAGAGAGGAAGGCTGAGAAATCCATACATTGACAGTTGTGGCCTGTTTTTCCTCCAATCGCTTCACAATTAGCCCGGGAGAGGAAGGAAATGGAGAAAGGGAGATTATACAAAGAATAAAACTGAATAACGGTCCTGATGTACAACGCACAGTTCCCAGTATTAATGTTTACATTCCAGAAACCAGAAACCTGCCCTCGTCAACATTATTGTCACAGACAGATGGGGTGCACTAGGGGGAATATGGACTGTACCGAGGGCATGGAGTAAACTCTGATCCCCTCCCACTGCTGGGCCCCTCTCTTTTTCTCTTTCTTCAGTTTGAGAGCTGCACACAAAACCCAGCTCAAGCTGCTTAAAGGCCAGAGCTCTCGAAAAGCTACTCAATGGCCCTCAGCCACCATCAAAGGGACTGTACAAAAGCACGCAGACCTGCACCTTTACTGAGGGGGATTAGGGAGGGGAGAAGTACATTTCAGCGCCAATTTCTTGCAGCTAGGCATGTGTAATGAAGAGGAACCTACGCAGAGAAAGAAGTATCCCATGGTGGAGGAAAATAATAGGACATCTGCTGATATTTTGTGATTAAAGTGAATAGGTGGGGGAAAAGGCTTTTTTACCAAGCACCTAACCTAAGAAGCGAGTTCAGGATCAAGGTGGAATTTTGGCGTTTTTTTTGGGACAAAGCATCTGTATCCAGACAGAGGTTATGGTTCAGCTCCTTCCCTAAAAAAAGGAGGCATTGTGGGAGCAAATGGAAAAGAAGGAGCAATACTAATGAGCCTAGTTTCCCCGCAAGCACACTCCGAACAAGGCCTAGGGCTTTACCTGCTTTGGGGTATTTCCTGTTTTCTGTAGCCATGACAACGCTTTAATCTGCCTTGCGTTCAAATCTAACAGCCAATCAGGTGGCAGGGCAACGACTGCTGTGGCTTCAAAACTGGAGCAGCAGCTGGGGAACCGAGCAGGGAAATATTCTGGAGCTTAAACTGAAAAACTCAAAAGCAATCCCAGTTTATGAGACAGAAAGGCCTTTCAGGTCGTTGTGTTAGTCAGCGCTGAAGTCATCAGGGTCAACTTTGAAACATATACAGAGAAAAACTGTCACTTTTAATGAATAAACCTGACATGTAAAATTCAGAGCGATGAAAAATAACACTGGCAGAATTATTCCTCCACTACTAACTCCCTCTTCTTTTCTACGCTGCATCCAAGCTAAGCATTAGCCCTGATCTTTCAGCACAGCTCTGCCCATGCAGGATGGGAGAGAAAGCCGACAGATCCAGGGCAGCGTTGGTATGTGCACGGCTGACTCCAAATCCAACGGATGAGAATCAGGAGGCAGAGAGGTAGCCTGAAAAATTAGGTGCTACCATAACTGCACTTGATCTGCGAAGGAATTAATGATATTTTATGCTGAAAAGTGCTGGCAGTGAAAACAACCTGCATATTTTTATTGGGTTGTATTTAATCTGGCTCTGTGCGGTGCAGTATTGAGCGTTCACTTCTAAATGGGTCAACCAGGAGCTCAGTGAACTGTAGCACCATCAGGACCCAGACAGTTTGTCTCTGAATCCGGAGCACAATCTCATTAGGAAAGCTAGCTCTAAAATATGAATGGGA